GCAGGCAGGAACCAACACACTGCAGGATGGACACAGACTTTAGACTCACCATTCAACCTGCCCTGCACATTTTTGGACCATGGGAGGAAGCTGGAGTCCCTGGCAGGAACCCATGCAAACACAGGGAGAGCGTGAGAACGCCGCACAGAAAGGATTTACGCCCAACCCGATCAAACCCAGAACCTTCTGGCTTAAACTAAGCATTTAAACTATTATTAAGTAATTCAATTTAAAATATCTGTTAACATTTTCTTTTTGAAACAGAATTTTTTGTTGTTCCTTCTGTCTTTATACTGAGTTAGTATAAGGCATCCAGTATGAATACTGCTTTTGTCCAACAAGGCCAAAATGCTGAATAATTCACATAATTGCAGACACAGGGCATTGATGTTGTTTGATCACTGAGAGCCCAACACTAGAATCATTGTATTCTCAGACTTTCAGAACCAGTGTAGTGTGAAAAGAATGGGGCAGAAGGAAAATGAATTTGACAGGAAACTGAAAACAAATATTGAGTTAGAGATGCCTTTGCAGAGCAGCAACAACTGGTTTCTGAAACTGGACAGACTAATTTTAGTCACATGTCACATTAAATGTACAGTATGTAAAACCTTTGGCAAAGCGGGGGTCAGTTGTTACCAAAAATAAACCAGCCCAACAAGAAGGGTTTGTCAGGGATATAACATAATTTTGCTGCCTCACTGTGGCATTTATCTGATGTTGGGAACGTGGGGATTAAATAAATCCTTAATTATTTGTAAGCGGTTTACATGCCAGCCAAGTACTGTATGCGACTGTAACTTGTATCATGTGTATGATAAAACAGAATGACTCCCCTAGTCCTTAAACTCACAAGCTGACCTTAACCAGCATCCATGACCTTAACCAGCATCCATGACCTTAACCAACATGCTAATCATTGTGCACACACTGCTCTGTTCTCTCTGCTTCTTCCCATTGTAATTTACTGAAGGTCCCATCATGTCCAGAGCAGCAAAAACACCTGTGCTGTGTTTGTGTCAGGAAAAAAACAGGGAGGCGTAAGATAGCAGTGACTGGAATAAATGATGTTCACAGAGCAGCAAGTGGGGGGTGTGGAATTCATCACTGACTCATTGGAGAAGATAAGTTTCAAAATGCATTGGCTTTGGTTTGACAGGTTGTTCTTTGGACAGTGAGTAAGTGTATCCAGTCTCATGGCTGAATCATCCCCGATTCAGATTAATATAAAACTTGTACAATTGTAACCCTGAAGTACTGGAATTCCCCTCTCCTGCTGTGAGAAGACTGGAACAGGATTCATGAAAATTCATAGAAACAAATATAACAAGGAGTTATTTGTCCTTCTGTGCAGCAGATCAGGATTATGCATGTCTTTTCCGGGAAATCTATCATCCGAAACTGCTAATCTAGTACAGGGTTAGAGTGCGGCTGCAGTCTCTCCTAGGTCGGTGTCTCGGAACACATGACCCCCACTATGAAATGCTCCATTACACATTATGGGAAACTGCAGGGAACTCACACAAGCATATGGAAAAGGAAAGCACATATGCAGGGGTGGGAATGAAAATCTGGGGTGAAAAGTCTACAACTGAGGCAACAAGATCTGAGTGCGTGGTCTGTGCCTATATTATATATCATATTCAGGTGAATTCATCTTGCCTGGGGAAGTCTCCACCTCCCTCCCCACCCCACCCCACCCCACCTTAAAATTCGTTTCAAGCAGCTTTATATCAATTGGCAATTATTTTTCTCACATTACTGTTACTATAATCATCCAATTTAACACCTGGGTGATGCAAATACTGGATTATGAAACAAATCCCTTTGTCCTCAATGGCTGTCTACCTTTGGCTCCCCAGAGAGTCAGAAGCTTAGCTTGTCTGGAGTGCAGGCCTTCCTGAATGTCTGTCTGGGCACAGTCTGTCTGGAGTCCATTCCGGACCACAGTCCATTTGGAGGGCAATCCAACTGGAGCCCAGTATCTGGTCACACTGGACGTCGTGTAAGTGAAGCCGCAAAAAAAGATGCTGTGTCTGTGCATCCGGCAGCTCGTGAAAAATTAAAGGGATTAGCTGAAGTAATTGTCTCCCTGACTGCCATGTAATTGATGAAGGATGACCATGTATCACTGCCCCCTGACAGAAGAAGCTTCTATGGGAAATTACCCATGAGTGGGACTGGCTAGTGATGTTAAGTCAATGGTTCAATAAAAAGACTCTCATAAATAATAACATATGGGTAGATGTTGAATTCTCAGTATAATACAGATCATTAAAGTGCATACATTATAATATCCAGGGTGGTGTGTGTTATTTTTTCTTGTGTCTATATCCAGCTGGCAAACTGAGACATAACTGCTGTTGTTATTATCCTGAATTCTCTACATAGTAAAATAACATTCTGTTTTCTTGTACAGTAGACCTTTCACAGATGGTGCCTTGGCACTCACCAAAATACTGTTGTATTTTCTTGGGTATTTGGCTGGTTTGATCATAATTCCTGTTCCTGCCTGGCCAGCAGGTGTCGCTGGTCACCCCTTTCCTAGTGTTTGAGTCCTTTGCGTCTTGTTCTTCCTAGCCCTGGTGTTTGGTTGATTGATTGTAATTGGCCCACACCCTCATTACCTGTATATATATGTGTCTGCCCTTGCCTTTGTTCCTCAGTTGGTCATTGTGTTTGCTGCTGTTCTGCTGTGGTTGTTTCTGTGTTGTTCCCTGCTTTATTTTGACCCTCTGTGGTACTTTGGATTCTTGATTTTTTTTTTGAGTTTAATAAAGTCCCTTATTTGTTGGAACCACAATGGGGACTGTCTCTACCTTCACCACGCCAGTATATTTTGGTTCATATGTCAAAGATATCCACAGAGTCTGTTCTCTAATACAATAAGCTATAAAATCATATGATTTAAGCATTAAAAGTACTTGTCCGGACCTTGGGGAACTGCAGTGATGAGAATGAGCTCATACTGACAGCAGTGCTATCAACCCCTTACTCATGGTTTACTAATAGCTGCCTCTGATGGTTCTTTCAAACCCCCCCTTATCCGTACAGACATCTCCCTCCATCTAAGAGCTGAAAACCCACACATGTATGCACTGAAAACCCACACACGTATGCACTGAAAACCCACACACGTATGCACTGAAAACCCACACACATATGCACTGAAAACCCACACACGTATGCACTTACCTCTAAAGGGTCCACAAAATGACTTTCATTCATAAAATGCATTTTATACACACAATTAATTTATTACATTGACAAAATGCATTTTGTGAACAAAATGACTTTCTTTTTAATAATGAAAACAGATACATTCAGCCTTATGTCCACGAAATGCAAGATGCTGATATCAATTCTGTGCACAAAACATTAATTTTGATGTCTTTTTGAAGTCTTTATGCTTTCGTGGACAAAATGTAGAAAGGCATTACTTGATTTCATCATTAAATAATGCTATTTGTGGGACAGAATGTATTGTTGTGCATGAAAATGAACGCTTGACACTTGGCATCCCTGGATGGTCAACCCAGCAGTTAGTGCACAACAGGTAGCAGATTTCTTACAAACCCCTATACCTATACATCAATAGTAGTTTTTAGTTGTATGTGTTAATTCCTTCCATAAAAAACGGACAGAGTATTGAAAAAAGAAATGGTTTATATAACATCTAGTATTTCAGCGAATATTCAACTGTTTAAGATTTAACATTCTGTATGTATCAGCTCATAGAGAAAATGTTTAAAAGTCTGTTATGACTAACAAAGCTTCACAATAAGCATTGGCAACATGCTGCTTCATCAGGGTCAAGGCTGTAGTTTTTCTGAGGGTTTTACTCTTGCTGCGGAAAATAAAAAAAAATTGAGGAAGCTGAATGAGTGGTCCGACTGCCCTCATTTTATTCAATTTGATTTCGTATTGTGGTGTCGGTGACTGCCAGTCGGATTGGTATGTGTGGCACAGTCAGACATGCCTGGTCCCCGTCTGTGCTGTTTTGGCCAGTTTAGCAGGTTGAATCAACATTGAAGCTAACTGTGGAAACTGAGTTTTCTGACTGGGCATGATATCAGTCATCACCTCGTGCTGGTATGTTCCGGCAAAGCCTTTCACAAATGATGGGAGCTGATGGGAGCTGACCATTAATCGGTCTTGGTTAGTGCTGTTTTTTTGTTGTCCACCTAAAGGGAGGCTAATATGAGACTGTGTGTGTCTTTTTGCTCTGGAGAAAAAAAAATAAGACTGGAGAAATAAGCTATAGGTTCATTTTGGTTTCACCAAAATTTCATAGCTGTCTAGCAGCTGTCTAGTCTTTTATGATTTTTTCCTAATAATTTACAAAGTCAAATCAATGTCTAGAATGTCTGAGAATTAAAAAAAATATCTGAATTAAAGATTAAAGCAATCTTTAGAACAGATAAAAATATGAACTGCGGATGAAGTCAGAGTCATTTCTGTCAAGGTCTCACAGCCTGTACTGTTCCCAACACTACATGCCCTTTTTTGGATCACTTGACAAAGTCTGTGTGGACTGTAAACTGCATCACAGCACTTTTGAGTTTTGAATAACACCCTTAACTCTTAAAACTGTTCCACGGGCACCGGATCAATGTCAGACTCTGCACTTTGTCATCACCTGTACATGTATGTCTGGTCTCATGGGAAAGCAAGAGCTCCAATGTATCTGTACTTCCACAAATGGTAACTCTTAATTTCCACCTGTAAGGTTGAAGCAATGTGTGGGTCCTCATCCTGCTTCTGTTGCCAGTATAGCTCTGTCACCAGGAGGTACCAATGTGGAAGGCAGACACCGTAACATCCTTAGGATGGCTCCTAGAATTGCTGCGTTTAACTATGAAAAGGAGATTCATTCACTTAGAAGAACATACAGCTCTGGAAAATAAAGAAGAGTCTACTGCAAAATTTTCAGTTTCTCAATTTATGGGTATGCTTCTGTGTAAAATATACATTTTTTTTTTTGCAAACTCCAGCCTGGCTCTTCTCTGCTTCTCGTTGATGAAGGAGTTCTTCCTTGCTTTATAGGTCTTCAGTCCTGCTTCTAGGAGCCTGTTACAAATTGTCCTAGCAGTGCACTTCACACCACTTATGTTTCCCATTCTCTGTGAATGTCACTTGGTGTCATCCTCCAAGTCATGAGACACTGTCAGACAAAGTTGATGATCATCTCTGGCATTAGAAAGTTGCTTCTGGCTCAACCTGGCTAGTTTTTGGTTGTTCCCAGTGTCTCCTGCTTCACCTTGTTCTTGTGTACTGCAACCGTAGAAAGTCTGGAAGCAACCTGCCACACAGTGCAGCCTTCTGCCAGTAGAACCAAAATTAAAGCAGAATTTAAACATGCAGATTTTTTTAAAAAAATAGAGTGGTCTCTATTTGGATTGGAGTATAGACCATTTCTCACAATATGACTTGAGGCACTTTGTTGTTTGGTCCGTTATTGTGCGATATTCAGATTTTACAATAACAGGGTATGACTAAACATCTCCCAACATGTTCCCCTGTCTTGCCCAGCCTAGAGAGCACCCAGTTTCCTACAAAAGGCTGAACTTTGCAAAGTAGCAAAAGTGGGAGTGGCTTATTTTTACAGGGGCCTATATTGTTATGTTGTGGTGACCCAGTCAGTCAGTATAAACACACAGGCTTGTCAGCTCACCTTTCATGCTGACACTGCGATGAAGGACACGGAATGTCCTGGAAGCTCTTTACTGTGAGGACTTCATTTTCCATCACCTAACACCTGCAGGATGCCAGCCGGTGTCACAGTGGGATGGCAGCAAACAGACTAACGACTGATAGCTACTTTCCAGAAGAGAGAGAGAAAAAGTTAAAGAAACTTGTTTAAAGGTTACTCTGACTCACCGTGAATCTGGGCACCAGAGATGAACACTGGACGTCGCTTGAAGAAGGAAAAGCGAGCAGCAGAAACCTTGAATCAATGGTTCTGCTTTCACGGAATTAACAAACTTCACAGACGAGTGGAAGATGTTAATTGGGAGTGGAGTAATGGACAGCCTGCCTCACCCCTACTGCCCTCGGTCACCGTTCAGGACATTTCCGCCATTTGTCAGCAGAAAGGTGGTTTTAGTGGGTAGTGCATTCATCCAAACTCACGTGACACACGATCACCGGACTGACAGTAGGCTGGAAGTTTCAAAACATTTTGCATGTCCATAGCATGCCCTAATAAGACATGAGAGACCACAGTATCTAATGCATGTACCGCACAGGAAGGCTGAAGCATTGAATCCCATTTGGATGAAGATTCTTCATTGCAGTACCTTCTGTGAACGTCTAATGCCGAAAACGTGGACATATATACAACAACTGTAATATCAGTTGTGGACTGATATTATGTGAGAGATCTTGGAGTGTAAATTCTGGATACTTTATTGTAAACAAAAGGAGGTGCCAGAAATTGGCAATCAAAGGGGGGTTATAGCAGTTCAATCAGTTAGAGGTTTAACATGCTTCTAAAGCTCACACCCTGGGCCTCTTTGGCTTCACCGTGTGTTTCCTTGAAACTTAAATTGTCAGGCCCATTCTTCAGTCTCCTTCAGCTGGAAGCCAGGCTTCAGTGCTGCTGTGAAGGAGCTTTGTGGCCAGGACAGAAGCTCAGCAGTGCAGCCTGAATGAGTCACCGGTATCAGAGAAATGAAAAGAAGGGTCACCTTCAGCTTCAAGAAAAGAAGGGAAAAACATTTTCTTGAAGGAGGTTTTTAAAGTTACGTTGTCATGTTAACAAGAGCGCTGGACATTATTAGTGAGTGGATTGCTTGAGTCTGGCTCCCAGTCTCTCCACAATAAAGTGCACATTTCCTATTATCACTTCCACCCCACTGCTGGGTCTGTGCTAACAGGTGGGGGTAGCCATGGCAACCTACCGGTGGTAATAGGCACTGCGATGCAATGCAATTAAGGCAATGACTCTGCTGACTGTAAAGAATTTTGTGTGTGGGGGGGTGGGAGAGTTACATATATATTACATTGTGGGAACCAAATACTATATGGTTTTTTTCCCTTAGAAATGAATGGATGGTCCCCACAAAGGTATGAATACAAATGTGTGTAGGGGGTGTAGGGGGCACAATTGAAAGGTCTGGAATAACTGAAGCAGTACAAACTTTTACCTCATTGTACTTGTGCATCCTGTAGCAAAACACAGGTTTTCTTTCCGTTACAGGTCAGCACAGACAGCGGTAGCCATCTACCCTCCTCAGGTACGTCCACTGCATGGAACATGCTTACCTTCCCCCTGATTTCTGTGTGATAGCGATGATGAGGCAGCAGAGATGCCTCCCCAGCAGCCGCTCGCTCTGAGTGCCTATAAGTCTGAGCAGCTTTTTCATAATGCAAATGCACCATTTCCTCTGCTGATCCTCAACGCTGATCCTTTAAAGAGAACAGCAAAGAAGGCAGTTCAAGCTCTACTCACCGAAACACTACATTGAAAATCTATTTAACTAGGGTTATGCATCAGAAATTCCTGCCCACGAAAGGAGAATTTGCATCCCATTGTCCATTTTTCTTCTTCTTATTTTTTTCTTTAAAAAGATTCTGAATTAATGTAATTTTCACAGAAAGCACCTGTTACGTTTTCCCTCCTAATCCCTCTGTGCTTTGTCTTCTTTTTCCTCTGTTTTACCCACTCAGCAACAAGGCTTTAAAAATATAAGAGCTTCCAGATTAGCCAGCACCATGCTGATTAATTACAGAGTTTTAAATGTTAGCCTGGGTGTGGAGCCCCGTGGGGGCAGTGGCAGCGGCAGACGGCAGCACAGGAATCACAAGTGAAGGTGGGTGATGAAAAAAGACTGGGGGGGGGGCAGAAGAGAGAGGAAGAAGAAAAGGAGCAGCGAAATTATTATGGACCCAATTATTTTTAAATTCCAGTGAAGGAGAAAAGTTTTTTTTACTGTGAAAAAGGTGAAACTAACTTCAGACCCAGAACAGAGCGATTACAGGTTAAAGACTCTCCTCAAAGCCCCAATGGAGGAGGACCACTCTTGGCATTGGCAAGATTCAAACCAACAACCTACTGACTGCTGGTACAGAGCCATACCCTTAAAGCCACCAGTCCACCTTAGTAATGAAGAGTGAATTACTATGATGGTATTGGTTTGCATGAATGAGCAAGGTTGGATTCTCACAGACAGGGCTGTGCAGAGATGATCTGAGGGGCAGGTATTCGAAGGTTAAAAAGGGGGCACTCAGTTCCCTTAAAACTCACTGACTACACTTAAACAGTCACTGTACTCCTTCTATCCACTATACCAGGGTTCTTCAAATCTGGACCTCGATTCCAAATCCAGGCCTTGTTTTCAGTTCTCCCAGGTAGTTAGTTTAATAATTACTGATTCTGATTGGCCAGAGGCTTCACACCCGGTTCACAGGTAAAGGAAGGCTGGAAAACCAGCAGTGCTTGGACCTCGAGGACCGTGACCTGCACTATACCCTCTAACCCTGCACTATACCCTCTAACCCTGCACTATACCCTCTAACCCTGCACTATACCCTCTAATTCATTATAGGGTCGCAGGCTGCCTGGAGTCTATCTAAGAAAACACAGTGCATCACCCATCCTTTGTCACAGGCACATATTATAAGGAATTTACTGCCGATAATCATTGAGAATCCTGTGTTTGGACTGCAGGAAGAAACCATGCAAACTCCACACATGCAAAGATGGGGCTACAGTGTCACCTAATGAGTCACAGCACAACCCCAATAATACAGTATACTGTACATCTGTGAAAAAGTCTCTAATACTGTACACGTATAATGAGAGTATACATCCGGTTTTTCATAATCAGTCTCCAAACCTTGTATGAATGTCACGTAAACCTTATATGAAGGTTTGAGACAAAAATGACACAAGCTCATTTTGAGTTTATATACATTTTCTAGATATATATGTGTCCAGATAGACTGTGGTGGAGTGATAGATTATTAATACTAATTATTACTAATCATTGATTACTGGTATACCTAAAAGAACACCGATTATTACTCTGTATTGATAATTAGTCGTATTCGAAACACTCCAGCTGTCACACCCCAGTCACACCCCGACAAGCAGAGCTCACCTGCCAGTAAACGGAATCCCCGGCACCTGTGGAGACGGCTATAAATAGACTGAACTCACGTCACTCCAACGCGAGGTATTGTTCATTCTTGGAAGCAGCTTACTGAGCACTTCCTCGGACCCCGCCTGTGTCACCCCTGCCCACGGCTCGTGGCCACCCTCCGTTTGACTTCCCCGGCGTCTCTCACCTCTCGTTTCGTGCCCCGACTACGTCCTCAGATTGCCCTGACTTTGGTTGCCTAAGCTGTATGGCAGTAATTTGTAGGCCTTTGATACAAGGAGGTCATGAACTCTGCAAGCAGGCATGAGGGCAGCCCTGCACTGTGTTTACTCTACAAAGTAAGTGAGAATTTCTGGTGAATTAGAGCCAGCAGGATATGTTCATTAGCCAGGCTCTTACATTATCATTCTGCTTGTGGTGATTTCCTGCTTCATCATGTAATGTTCCTGTATGGGAACCAGTGTGTCATAATGGAAATCCCGGGTCCTCTTGAACCGGAAAGATATAGTTTATTTTCCTGACTTAATGAACTTCCCTGCCAAGAAAAATATAGGGTCTCTTTGTAGACAATATCACGGCCAAATCGGAATTCAACGTGACATTGCACACAGTCCAAAGCGCACATGAACTGAAAAAACATCCTGTATCCTAACAGATTTATTTTAACTGAGAGATATGGAACATAACATGTCTGACTAAAGGACTATGGACAGGGTAACAACAATTATAACATATAATACTGTCTGACATACAGTAACACTGCAATACAATGTAAATTCGAGGATAGAAAAAAATATAAGGACAGAAAAAAATCAATATTTAAGCTTAAACCCATCTAAACATATTATAGGCTAAACAGGTTATATTAGGGTAATGAGAAAACATGAAAACATAATATATTATACAGAACACATAAGTGACATATAATAATAATAATAATAATAATAATAATAATAATAATAATAAATCGTATAACCACCTATAGTGGCCTTCCAGTTGCAAACACAACTAATTCTTTAATTAATTATTGTTTCATTTATAAGGAAATTATGTGTAACTGCATGATAACAGTATTTAAGTGTGCAGTAGCCATACAACATACCAGCAGGTGGCGTCTCCTGTTAACTGGCTAATCCAGCTTATTGGCTGTCATTCCTCTCCTAAGTTATCCTGCGACTTTCTTCACCTTCGCGTAAAATATCCCGGTGACATCATCCACGCCCACCTTCATGTCTGCAGGCAGCCTGTAGACGCAGAGCTGTATTAGCAGGTAGCCGCTGGCCCTCAGGCTTGCGCAGACCTGCGTCTCATCCAGCGGCACCACGGGGATGCGCACGCCCGGCCCCCCCATGTAATAGGTCTCCCCCAGGGCCCCAATGAGGAGCAAGCAGCCCCCGGGACGCAGCAGGGAGCCGATGTGGCGCAGAGCCTGGGTGAAGCAGGGCAAGTCCGGGCTCACGCTCTCCAGGCAGAAGGAGGACACCAAGCAGTCGGCCCCTGAGGGCGGCAGGGTGCCCTCGGCCAGCGGGGAAGCTTGGTGCACGTCGATGGGCAGGACGTCGGACACCACCGAGCGCAGGCGGGCCGCTTTCTCACGCCAAGCAGAGGGGCTGGAGCGGCACACAGTGTACATTTGGCAACACCCTCACGACTCTGCACTGGATAAGCAGACAATGGTGCCGGCTACAGAAATGAGCTGGACATTCGGTGATTTTGAGATAAACCTCACTCACCATACCGTCACACACACCTGACATTCCATTGAATACAATGAATGTACAACCATTAATGTATCAGATTACATGTAATACGAGACATCTAAGAAATATTACAGTCATCCTTCCATCTATCCTCTGAGCAGTTATTCTGTTATCCTGGTCAGGCTCAGGTGGTCTGGAGCCCATCCCAGCTGCACTGGGCACATGGCCAGAGTACATTGTGAATGGGATTCCAGTACATTATAATCATTTTAATAATAATACCAGCAATTACATGCAGGTAATGCCACATAGACAATCACAAGAGGGTAATCATACCTTGGTAACCATGTACAGGTCATTGGAAGTAATCAACTAATCACATACTGGTATTGATGGCTGCCGAGTCGTGTGGTGAATAAGTGATACAAAGTATGAAATGTTCATGACATCCGAGTGTGCTCTGAGTGTGTTCCCTGCATGTTCTGCGACAGCTCCATAAGCTCTTACCTTCGTCCCTCCAGCTGGCAGACGTGCTGCAGGTACGGCGCCCAGTCGAAGTCGCCCTCCTCGCCTGCCAACCACCGCCGCAGCTCCTGCCGGTTCACATCCAGGAAGTCCGTCAGAACCACGTGGCTGAAAACCTCGCAGCCACTCAGAACCTGATACAGAGTGGGACCAGATCCAATGTCCACCAGCGTCTCTCCCTGTATGTCGCCTGTAGGATATGGAGAAAGGAGAAGGACAGAAGGATAACAGAGGAGGCAGAGGAGAGGAGACAATATGCCTACAGATTTAGGAAGTGAGAAAACATAACAGAAAGGAGGGATGCAGACCAATCAGGGGGACGGGTAAGGGTGAAGGGTGAAGGGCAGGCATCAAGCTTCAGGAAATAACCTTCAAAGGAGAGACAGGAAAAGAGGCTTCCCATTACAGCCCGAAAACATTCAGTTAGGTACAGCGGTTTGTCTAAATTGTCCATACTGTGTGATGGTATGAGCTTGTCTGTGAGCCCTTTGATGGACTGACATCCTATCCCAGGTGTCCTCATGCCCAGTGTTTACTGGGATAGGCTCTAGACCAGGGGTGGGCAATCTTATCCAGAAAGGTATACAGGTTTTTGCTGCAACTCCCTAATTAGATTATTGAAGATTGGCTGAAGAGTCCTCACACCTGGGTTTGGACAGCTGCCCTAAATGTTGTCCCAAAATCCTGCATACACACCGGCCCTTTGCCGATAAGACTGGCCACCCCTGGTCTACACTCAGTGGGCTAAGTGCCTGGGAACAGAAGTTCTATGGTTCAAGCCTCAGCAGAATGGTCACTCCTCCGTGGACCCTTGGGCAAGGCCTCTAATCCTCAGCTCCTGAGACACTGCACACTGCACCCTGCACACTGGCTGATCCGGCACTGTGACCCTCAGGCTTGCTCTCACCAGCACATGTGTCTGTGTGTCCCGTGGAGTGCAAGACATGCAAGAATATGCAAAGAGCAGCAGTACAATGTACCTGTACTCATGCAAATAAAGGATTTAAGCTCAATCACTGTGACCCTGAGCGGTAGAGGTATGGAAGATGGATATAAAAAAAGCACCCGATCCATATCTCAGTTTTGAGCTTGCGAATTACAATTCAGAATAACAGAGGTGTGTGCTGTGCACACGCACACGCTCCAGCTCACCTTCTGTGAAGGCTCGGTGCAGGCAGCCCAGTTTCCAGCGCATGACGCTGTCGGCGCGGCTGAAGTCAGCCCGGGGAGGCGTGTAATTATACTGCAGGTACGCGGCTGGGTTGAAGCCCTGGTAGTGACGCGCCATTGCGGCCACGCCAGATGCCCCCCCCCCGTCTTCCCTGTCCAGTTTGCCCCGCCCCATCTCCCGGCTTGTCTTGCCCTTCCTATCCTGCATGTCTGCGTTTGACAGCTCAGGGCCTCTGCCTTTGGCATGCGTCGGCTTGTGGAACTTAGGAGTGTCCGCAAAGTCCCCCTACACGTATGCCGATGCCCCTCTGACTCGCCGAGGTTTATATCTAAGTGCATGAGGCCAGTTAGTGGGCCTGTGTGTGATTAATCACACCCCACCTCCTCTGCCTGCCTCCCCTTTATCAACCGAGATCCCATCTCTGGCTGGGCAGCTACCTAACTCCAGCTAAGCTCTCTACCCTTGAGCTCTGATGCCATCTAAACGAGGCCTTTCTTGATATGAATGTCCAGTGCTGCAGCTTCCTGTGCCCCCTAACCTGCCCTCCAGGTCCCACCTCCACTGACCCCTCTATCCATTCATCTACAGGAACATGAAGCAGTCAGGGTAGGCAGTGTGTAGCTGCTAGTGTCTGGTTAAGAATCCACTGTCAAGGACAACATGGTTTGAGAACTAGTTTTGTGAGGATTTTTTGCTTAGGGATACTCCGAATTTTTGACTTCATCTTTAGATATTTATCCAGTAAGGTTTTACAGAGAGGCAGCAGGAACAAGAACGGGTAGCCCACGGTGGATGTGGAGGTCACCAACTCAGGGATCTTGATTACTGTACTTATTCTGAATTTTTGCTGCGTTAATTGACACCAAGCCGCTGAAAATGGCTCCTGCTGCTTTAGGTTAAAGCAGTGTCTCCCAATCCAGGACCCACAACAGTCCACGTTTCTGCTCCCTCTGTGCTCCCTGCTAGACAGTCCAGGTTTTTGCTGCCTGGAGCTGGGAGGGAGCAAAAACGTGGACTGTCTGTGGATCCCCGAGAACCGAACTGGGAAACACTTGGTTAAAGGAGCTACTCTCACCGGACCGGCTGGCACCTCCCAGCACGCGCTGCAGTTGTTTCTATGGCGGTTTACAGAACCACATGCTGTGACCAGTGCAGGTTAGTTAAACAGATACCATGGTGCTCGCACTTTACTGCCTGTCGATGCGTCACATGACTGTGTGATTCATGACATCATATGCTGGACCCAAATGTTCATTATGTGCTGTAAACCAAACAGAGTCAGAACTGAGGACAGGTAGATTGTCCTACAAATCTGGACCCAAATTCTAATCCCCATGATATGTAGCATGAACCACCTCAGAGTCTCAATATATCTGTTAAAGTCAGACAGAGACCGACACCTCTGTTAGCACCCAAACTCCCCCAGTGCAGTTGTAATACAATCAGTCGCCACCGAGCGGGGACCGAACACACCCCAGGTCCTCTCTATCTCATCTCAGTCCAAATTGCCTGTGATCTTGTTACTTTCTCAATCCCTCTCTATCTCCAAGCCTCCTTCTCCAGTTCCTGCCAGAATCGACTGGCATAACGATTAGCCCCTGAGACATGCTGATATGAGCGGATGAAAGCGAGTAAATATGACCTGCAGCCACCTCTGCTGATATTAAGTCTACCTCAGGCATTGGGCTGCAGTTGCATGATCCTGAAAAAGTCATGCTGATAAAAATAAAAAGGAGAGAGCGGAGCGGGTCGATTGAGATACGGGAAATGGTATAACTTCTGTGCCAAAGCACCTGTGTGTGTTTGAGGGTCACATGTTGACCATGTCTCAGTCGCTACGTTCAGAGCCCATTCTGGGTACTTTGGGGGCCCTAGGTGAAAAACTTCATGGGGGCCCCCCCAACGCACCCCGCCCAACATGGTAAAATGGATTGCCTTTGTTTTACTGTGAAGTGTAAATGTACAGGATCAACAAAGAGAATTTAATAAGCACAATACCTTCATTTTCACTTTTGTGAAAGCACAATACACAAATAAAGCAGATGTGTCCTTGTAATGTACTATGTAATCAGCCGCCCCTGGGGGGCCCCCCTCCCAACTCAGGGGCCCCCTCCCAGCCTGCGGCCCCAGGCCATCGCCTGCCCCACCTGTCCTGTCGCTGTACCTCTGGCTACATTACAACTGGAATGCTGTAATGGAAGACTAAGGGAAGAGGATGAAAAGGTCCAGGTTCACACAAATGTCAAACATTCAATCTCAATGTCCACATTACATGGAAACCTATTTGATTTATTTAAAATGCACACCTTCCGCACTCGACAGAGTGTGTGTGCTTGCTACGGTTCTGGGACAAATTTTGCTATTGACACAAAATTATAAATACGATACTGTGGGAGTCCCCAGAACGTAACCATGCCTAAAAAAGTAGCTGTTTTTTTTATTTATTTAGCAGTTTCCATCTGTTTTTCACTTTTGGTTGCTTGGAGACAGGGATTGTCAGTCATGTTATAATGGAAATCCATACTTGATGTGTATGATGTGTAAATTATGCAAAACTCTCAGGTCATCCATTGGGAGCCATGGTGGTGATACGGGCGCATGGTTTGCTACGATTTTCCTCGGCAGGAACCTAATTCCATCCACAGTCGGTGCTGATCCTGAATAAGTCTGGCTGGGCCTCGCAAAGAGGAGGGAAATCTGTGACGAATGTGGCACCAGGCTGGCCAGGAAAATCTCTGGGGGCTGATTCGATTAAGGCGCAGCGGGGGGGTTACAGACAGATCAACCTCCACTTAATGCCAGGGGCCTCTGGAGCCCTATTTATAGGTTTTAATTACAATTATAAGCCAGGAGCCTGAAGACTTTTGCATTTCAGGTAGGAGTGGATGTCAGGGCACAGGCAAAGAATGATTCACAGATTCACAAAGAACAAGAACAAACACAGATTTTTTTTCATTCTAAAGACATAAACACACTATAAAATATTAATAATAATTTGAATTCCTCATGCCCTCAGCTTAATGCCTGC